AGAAAATTTAATGTAATTTTTCAATTAATTATTTTACATAATATTATTCTAAGCGGATACAATGGAATTTAAAGTTAAAATATGAATTAATTTTACATTTACACTTCATAAATGTTTAAAAATTTTATGTAATACAAAATATATTTGAGTAATTAATTTGCTTGAGTTTAAAACTGAAAAAGACCTAAATAGAGTTTAAACCAAAATATTGAAGTCAATAATGATAACTTTAGCATTTTGGAAACTTTTCAAATATGTTGAATTAAAATATTCTTTTTATAATATAAATATTAAAATAAAATTTTAAATATAATATAAAAATTAAAATAATTATTTTTATTATAAAATATAAAATAAATTTTTAAATATTGTACAAAACTTCTAATGAAATTTAACCTCCTCCTGTATATAACTCAAAAGCAAAGAGTGTGACGTCTGTGGGTTATCTAAGCTAAGCTTAGTCTCAAAATGTCTTAAACATTAGACCAAGCTTGTCCAATGTTAATCTTTCTGGTATTTTATGCAAAATGTTCTAATTGGTTACGAAGGACCTAGAAGAATCTAGTTTGTTATGCCAGCTCACCTAATTGGTTACACCCATCACTTAATTATTAGCTAACATGCTCCCAAATTTTCGCGGTTTGAACATCGTCCCTAGAGTCAGGCATAGGATGACGAAACATAGAAAAATAGGCTCGACATAATGGCTTGGTGAGGCCGTCAGCACACTGATGTTGAGCAGGAACATAGTTGACACGAACTTCACTTGGAACATAGTTGACACGAACTTCACCTGCTGCGACCTTCTCCCGTAAGAAATGGAGGCCTAACTCAACATGCTTCGAACAAGAGTGAAAAATTAGATTTCCGCTCATAGCTATGGCGCTTGTGTTATCACTTCAGATAACAGGTGGACTAGAGTACGAAATCTTCATATCAGTTAATAACGCTTTAACCCGCACAACATCAGCAATAGTTTTAGCAATTCCACGATACTCAGCCTCAGTGGTGGATCAAGAGACTGACTGTTAACAATTAGATGACCAGGAAACTGGATTTCCCCCAAGAAAAACACAAAAACCAAAAATAGAACGTCGATCATCGATGGTGCTTGCCCAATCAACGTCAGAGAAAGCCTTCAATTGCATTCCAGTGTCAGTCTTGTGAAAGACTAATCCGAAATCAAGAGTCCCACTCAAGTATCCTAGAATACGCTTTACTAATATCCAATGTTGTTCACATGGAGCATGCATATATTGAGCAACTCGATTCACACTAAACACAATATCTGGTCGTGTGTGATTTAAGTATAAAACTGCTCCTACAACACTTCTATGCAATTGAACATTGGATAATGAACTCCCACCATTTTTACTAAGATTTGGAGAAGCAAAAATTGATGTTGGAACATGATGAGCACAATGCATGCCAGTTTTTTTTTTTTTTTAAAGAGGGTACTTTGTATTAATGATAAACAAAGTAAACCACCTCAAGGACCTCATTAACCCCCTAACCCTAAATAGAGGAAAAAGAGTGTACCTTGAGGTGGTAAGGAACTAATACACAAACAACATTCAGACCATACCCATGCCCTCCCATAAACCCCCATACAACACAAAATAAAACCAACACAGACTGACCGACAAATTGAATAGAAGCCTAACTAGGAACCAAACACATACAGCCAAACCAGTGGAATGAAGCTTAACAACAAAACAATACAACAACAGTACCCTGAACAAGAACGACTGCGAGCACTAAGAAATGGAAACTCACTAGCTGAACTCCAAAGGAAACAGCTCCCCAAATGCAGAAATAGCCAAAAATCTCAGACCATTAAAGCAACAAACAACCAGGGATCGAAGACTTCTCAAGGCTTACCAGCTAGCCCAATTCGTCTAGTTACTCAAGAATAAACTTCTTTTATTGTAAGACAAGAGTTTGATCATCTTGCTTTACCTCTAGACCCAAAAAGTAATTCAAATCAGCTAAATCTTTTAAAGAAAATCCATGGCCCAAGAGCGACACCACACGGTCAACATTAGCATCATTATGACCCCTGATGATAATGTCATCAACATACACCAAAATGTAAACCGATTTGTCACCCGATCGTCGAATGAATAAGGATGGATCAACTTACATACCATAAAAACCAATACGAATTAAGAAGGCTCGTAACTTGACATACCAACTTTGAGGAGCTTACTTGAGACCATATAATGCATTCTATAGCGTGCATACTAACTTGTAGCCATCAATAGTATATTTTTCAAACCCTGAAGGTTGCATCATGGACACTTCTTCATTGAGTTCTCCATTAAGAAATGCGTTGTTAACATCAACTTTTTGTAGTCGCCACCCATGCATTTTTGCCAGTGACAGAACAACCCTCACCATGGATGGCTTAATGAGTGGACTAAATGTATCATGAAAGTCTTGATCGAGTACCTAAACAAAACCTTTCGCTACTAAGCAAGTTTTTCTGCCTCGCAGTTGATCCACTGACTTTCTTCTTAATTCTAAACAACCACTTATATACAATTGTCATTCTTCCATTAGGTAAAAAATCCAATTACCCTATGATATTTTGAACTAAGGCGACATAATCAACCATGACAGTTGCTTTCCATACAAGGGAAATCAATGCCTATTGAATTGAAATTGGTTCATTTTCTTCAACCATAGTATGAAAAAAGAACACTTTGGGTTTGAAAGTGCCAACTTTGCTCCTGGTTACCATATGATAGACATTGGAGGGTGGAGGATAACTACCACGTAAATTACTCACAATAGGAGCTTCAACTAGAGGGCTGGAATTGTCTGCCACATTATCACCAAGAGGCTCATCATCAGTAGTATGGCTTTGAATAGCTGAAGCTGCTCGTACTATAGACCCCACAGTTTCATTGTTGTTATCCATTGGAAGAGAATTCAATTCAGATAAAAAACCATCAACTTCACTATCAAGTAGATCGAGTTTGGATGCAAGAGTAACATGAGAAAGAGACCGAGCAAGAACACACACCAACAGTCTTGCACATGGGACCACGTCAATCTTGGTGCATGGCATCGATCGAGGTGTAGTTATGGACTCCTTAACCTTTCGTGCAAAAGAGGAAGTGTTTTCATTAAACCGAACGTTTCTAGAGATAAAGATAAGACCATTCAACACTAAATATAAATATCCCTCATGTTGGACACTATGGCCCAAAAACGTGCAGGCCTCTCAATAGAAGGCAAGCTTGTGGGACTGAAACGGACAAAGATAGGGAAATCATCGACATCCAAAAACACGTAAGTGATCATAGTTGGGGTGTTTTCCAAATAGTTTGCCAAACAGAGTTAAACCAAGGAGAATCCTTAAAGGTAGTATGTTGATTAAATAGGCAGATATAACAACTGCATAAGACCAATATTAAAGTTGCAAGGAGGCCTGAGTGAGAAGAGTCATAGCCATTTCAATAATGTGGATGTGCTTATGTTCGACAACGTCATTTTGTTAGGACATGTAAGGGAAAGTAAGCATGTATCGTATCCCAATTTCCTGAAGAACTTTGGTGAAAGGGCAAAATTCGCAACCCCAATCACTTTAGACTTCCTTTATCTATTTTTCAAACCGTATATGAACTAATCATTGAAATAATTTGATGGCATACAACGCTTGTGATTTTTATTTCAGTAAGTAAACCCAAGTGTACCTCATACACACATCAACACATGACATTTAGTATTAAAATCCATTAGATACAACATAAAAAGGTCCCCATAAATCCTCAAACACTAACTGAAATGACTTATTATAAACAGTAAGAGACTTGGAAAATGACAAATAATGACTTTTTCTAGATTGGTAAGTAACACGTATATAATAATTGTCGACAATCATTTTTCGTCCCGTTTTTATCAATGTTTTCAAAACCGGACCGGACATTAAACCGGTAAAGGTACTGATTTACTGGTTCACTGGTTCAACCGCGGTTGAACCGGATTTTATATAAAATAATATATTTTTTTAATTTTACATAGTATTCAAAGCAATATTAATATATATGTAATACTTTTTTTTAAGTTTACAATATTAAAAGGTATAAAAATATCACAAGTCATAACATGTATATATGAAAAACCATAAAATCAAGTGAAACAAAATGATTCAAATCAACTACAACATAATATTTAAGGTAAAACATATTAAATAATAAATATAATTATATAACTATAATCAAAAAAATAAAATTGGGGCTTAAAAAATCATAACAAATGATGTCATTTGGTTTAATTGTTTTAAAAAAAAACAATCTCACATGGCTAAGAAACATAGAAGAGTATCCCAAAAGTTTAAAGAGTAAAAATATGAGAACAAAACAATCCCACATGACTAAGAAACATAGAAGAGCATCCCAACTTACTTCTATAAATAATAGAGGTAATTTGACATTCAAAATAATAGAGCCTTTTGGTGAACACAAAGCGAACTATTCTTTCGCTTCAATTGAACTCAAATTTTAGGCTTCAATCGAACTTCTATATATTTTTTTTGAGTTCAAGCTTTTTTGATTTCAAGTTTTAATATTATATTTCGAGTTGATAATTTTTAGCTCGTGAGTTTTTGAGTCGAGTTGAGCTTACTTTTAAAGTTTTTGAATTCGAGTCGAGCTCAGCAATACTCGAATTTGACTCGGATCGTTGAACAAACGACGTCGTTTGGTTTAATTTTTTTTTTTAAGAAAAAAAATGAACCGACGGTTCAAACCGATTTTGCCATTTTCAACTGATTTTCCGGATTTTCAGTCGGTTCTTCCGGTTTTCTTTATCGATTCTGTGCTAATCCGATTTTAGGAGTTAACCAGACCGGACAGGCCACCGATTCACGATTCAACCGATCGAACCGGCCGGTCCGGCCGGTTTTAATAACATTGGTTTTTATGTTATTACTATTAATATTAATATTTTTATTTTTTATTTCTCTTACAGGCTTTACATGTCAAGCCCAACAAATCCGAAACCCAAGACCCCAGCCCACAAAGCCAATCCAACCCAGTAACTTGACCTGACCCAGTTCCAAGCATTACCATACTCTGTCATTTTCAGCTCCCACGTGAAGCATCACCAACGAGCCACCGAGCCACTGTGCATCATCACCTACGTCAAAGGCCACCATATCAATAAAAAATATTATCATCCAAATTAGCCATCCACTACAAATCCACTAAACCAAATCAAATCCTTGAAAATGGGTATGTTACCCTACCATTATTCAGACACCAGTGGAATGACCACTATTCGACAAATATAAATACACCAGAGGCCATGACATTCCTGGCGGGGCTCTCGATTTTCAACAGATGAATTCACAGAAAAAATAGGGGGGTAGTCTTTTGGTCTCCATGCTCTTTGTAAACAACAATTGAATGTAATCAAGGGAGCTTTGATTCACATTTTTTCTAAGGATCAATACGAAAGAAGGCATTACTTCGGCATTCTTCATTTTTTAGTGTTTTGTGCGTATGAAAATGAAATTCAAGAAATAAAACAAAATAAGAGATAGAAGCTCACCTAAACTGTTTGAGTCACCAGGTTCCAAGGCCGAAGCGTCGGGTTTCCCTCGGGAAGTTTGCATGTAATTTTGAGTTTAGTTTCCATTAGAGGGATTTTGAAATAGAAATAAGAGAGATAGTAAATAGGCTGTGAGATTTACCTTTTGATATGGATTCGTCATCTGATTAAGGAGTAAGGATTGTGGTTTAGGTTTGTTTGGGGTTTACTCAACTATCGAGGGCGGTCACCGTAAGGGTTCAAGGTTTCAGTTAGGGCTCTTTAGGTTAGGTGATGTTCTGATGGAGGTTTGAGAAGATGGACAGAGGCCAAATGGCCATCGATCTGTGGTGGCCAACACGAGTTAAAGCCCCTAAGGCTCTCGATTGGGGAAGAAGGGTGCGAGTGGCCGAGAGAGATGAGCGGTCGAGAGATGGGAGAGTTTTGGGATGATCTTGTTTAGGGAACGATTTTGCTTTCTCTTTGGTTCAGTGGTGTTTGGAGGCGCAGGGAAAGTAGCGCCGTGCGGTGGCCAAGGTTTGGAGTGGCCTCTGGTTCGTATGCAAAGAAGAAGAGGGAGGCTTAGGAAAGAGCAAAACGACTGTGCGTGAGTTTAGGTGTAAATATAGCCCAGGTTTAGTTTAAAATTAAGTTTTATATTAGAAATATAGAGTAAATTAATGTTAAGTCACCGTGGTCTTTCTTGAAACTCATTTTAGTCCCTAGGTCGAGTCTTCATGTTTATAATTTTGTTCCTTCATTTTATGCATATTTAATTTCAGTCCCAAGTGTTATGTTATTTAATTTTTTTATTTTAGACATTAGAATTCTAAATTTTTGCATGTTACTTTTTAATCATGTGTATTTTAGGGTTTATTGCAATGTTAATCCTTTATAATGGTGTTTTGTTTTAATTCAGTTTCATTATTTATTATTGTATGATATTTCCATTTCCACCCCAATTTTTATTTTGGTTATTTTTAAGATAGTAAAGTTACATTTAACATGATTCAATCATTATTTTAATATGTATAGCTATTTTTAATAAATTTATAGTTTGGTATGATATATTTTAATTTTTGTATTCAATCACATTTATGTATCATATATATATATGGTATATTATAATTAATAAATATATGTATATATTTTTTGTATATCACATGAAATGGTTTTCTTGATCATAATATTTATTTAATTAATTCTTGCATGACATCCTTTTTGTATAAATTGTATGATACCCTCATGTGCATAGCTTGACCAAATGACATAATTGCATTAAGGGTAATACCCTTTTAATTTAAAATTGTTTTAAGTGGGTTGTCTTAACGTATTAGATTTCCGCTTTTGACGATTTTAAATTAGAAGTGTATCCCATTAGTAACACCTAAAAATTGATTCATTATTTTAAAATTTGGGAATGGAAGAAAAAGAAATATTCGACTATTTAAATTTGTCGAGAAAAAGGTTGTTATGCATCATCTAAGATCTGGTCTTGATATTTTTAAATAATTGAATATTCTTTATCTTTCTAAAAGGCAGGGTAATTTTAATTTAATCTGTTTTGGTGCTTTTGAATGTTGTAAAATTCATATGTTTGTTTTGTTGGGATCATAAATCAAATTAAATTCGAATTTGTAAACTTCATTGCAAAGACATTAATTAATCGACTAGGTACCGATTTAGGGCGCTGTGGGGGTGCTAATCCTTCCCCACGCGTAATTAACTCCTGAACTCATTTTCTGGTAGCGTAAACCTCAATTTGTTGTTTTAATTAAAATTAATTTTTGTTTAGAATGACAACGTTTTTGGGTGTCCAATCACACCCTAATCAAGGATTAGTGGCGACTCTTCGAACCGTGTTTTTTTATTCGTAAATAAAATCCCAAATTTTCAAAACTGGAGGTTTTCTAAATCACATTACTTTTTAATTAAAAATTAATCACGAAGAAGATAATTAAAAATTAAAATTGGTGTGGTTTTTAAAATCTCGCCCTGAGAAAAAACCGTTTCGACAACTTGGCGACTCCACTGGGGAAAATCTTTTTAGAGAGTCAGGCCATTAGTAAATTAATAAATTGTCTTTGAAAATAAAATTACAAGTTCGTTCTAATTTGGTTTTTAATCCCTTGTTTGGTTTTAAATAAGCTTTTTTACTCTTAATTTGCTTAACCACTAAATAGTTGTATGATCTGTTTGCTAATGTTTTCAGATTAAATAATTGTTCAGGGTCTTGAGTTTTCTGTTTAGTGTTGTTTGCTTTGTTTTTGCTTTTCCTCACACATTGCACAACTGTATTTGCATAACATTAGCTAAAACCCCGCTCCGTCCTATTTAAGTAGGAGTAAGTAACTACTCCCTCGTGTGGTTTTCACCTCCGTGCGGGATAGTGAAACGCTCATTGGGCTCATGCCTTATGATCCTCGTGAGGGTTTCACCTCCGCAATGACATAAGGAAATGTGTCCCCTCGAATTGAACTCGATCCGAAAGCCTGTGATGGGCTAGGATTGAGGGTTCGGTAGCCCAAGAGGGCACCGGCAAAGGATAATTTGAGGTCCCCTTACTTTAGAACCAAGCCCAGCATATAGTAAACTTAGAACCCAGATACAACCTTACCCAAACCATATTATCCTGTGATGAGAGTACACAAGGAAAAGTTTTTGAGTCATTTATTTTTGCTTTTTGAATATATGTATGCGAACTAGAAATCATGCGGTTAGGTTTATTTTCTCGAACAAGCATGCGAATTAGATATCATGCGGTTAGGATTTTTGTGAATAACAAAAGAATCTGGGTAGATATCATGTTGGGTAGGATCTATTAAAGTATGATTGGGTAGTCAGCATGTGAGGATAGGTTTTACTTAATGATTACAATACTTATTATTTTATTGTTTATATTATGTGTACTAACCAATTTTGGTTTTATGTCTATTTTATTTTGGATTTATTGCATTCACATCTTCATATAATTCAAAGGTGTTAATTCACAAGTGATTGACTAATAAGAAGGCTGGTCATAATGAGACAAGAAATTCTTAACCATAGAGTCAAAATTGGGAGATCCAAAGATGTTCAAATGATCTATAAAGAAAGACATTCGAGGAATAAAGAAATCTGAAGCTGATTGAAGACTTCCTTTAAAGAAGAGAAGGCCAAGATGTTCCCTCAGAAGATAGATATAGTCATACCAAGTACGAGAAGACCCTTCACAAAGACATGAAGATCACTTCGCATTGGAAGTAAAAATTAAGATTTCAATTTAAGGGCACCAGACATCGTCAAATGTGATAAAGTACATCGAAAACTTTGGGTATAATGTTAGATTCCATGAAGAGTACGGCTCAAGGAAATGAAGAAATGAAGAGTCATAATTGCATTTTGACTACATGGTGTAAAGAAATCTTGTTGTCTAAATGAAGGTTGTTCTATGGTGGTCACTTTTGGAATTAACACCTTGTGCATTTCCATTAGCATTTGCATCCTCGTTTAGCATTAGCTTATTAATTTATTTATTTTTCTACTTGCTTCTATAATAATTCTTGTCATCTTATTATCATTTTTCGTACTAACTAGTTGATATGTTGTTTTTTTCCTTTTTGCTTGCATCAAATGTTCATGACATAATCAAGGTGTTGATTTGTGAGTGTTCATCATATTAAAAGGTTTTCATGATGGACAAAGGGTTTCATGATCAAGTAAACTATAACACAGCTAAGGAATGGCATCCTAAGGAAACTCCGAGAATAATGGAGAGTTATGCGCTCGACGATCGTATGTCCGACGAAGAGAAAAAGGAGATAAGGGAGTAAATGTCCAAGATGATGGATAAAATAACTGCTTTGGCCAAAGAAAAAGAGACTTCTGTAAAAGAAAAGATTGAGCTCGAAAAAAATAGTCATACGATATCAAGTACACAAAGGGCTACTTTAGAACAAGTCAATCATCATCAATATGAGAAATTACGCACAGTCACCATTCGTATCAACAAGTTGTCTGGAGACCCCAAGGAAATGGTGACAATTGTAGAAGTCCAGAAAGATGAAAAGAAATCATGCAATCAGAACTTGCGGGCATTTGAGAGTATACTTACAGCGTCAGGAGAAATAAACCTGAAGACTCCAGTTCAATCCAAGTCGAGAGGTGGCTCTCGTTTTGATTCTATCTCTATATCATATAAGGAGTTGTATGATAAGCTTTTAGAAGCCCGAGAGGTGGCTCCACATTATGTGAAACCTTTGCAGCCTACGTATCCAAATTGGTATGACATCAACGTTCGTTGTGAATATCATGCTGGAATTCAAGGATATACCATTGATAATTATTCTACCTTCAAACGTTGAGTCCAACTTCTTCTAGATCATGGAGTATTGGAGTTTAAAATGAAAGGTCGACTAGGTTTGGTGACTGATTGTCCTGTTAAGGTGGAGCCAAAAGTGTTCAAAGGTAAGGATATCAGTGAGGGCATCTATGAGGAAGAAGATTTGCTAAAGGATAAAACTCAAGTTTGTTATTTGAGGAATAAAAACAATAAACTAAATAGAGATATGGAAGCCATGCTTGATGGTTTTCAAAGGATCAATATAGCCTTTAAAAATACTGGTATAGGAAATACCCAGAAGAGTGGACAACAAGGGTCACTAAACTGAAGAAAGACATTGAACACTGGAGAAAGAATTGCAAGGTGCATGAAGGTCGAGTCAAGAAGTTCTCTTATGATTTACATATTGCAGAAAAAAGGCGCAATACAACTGTTAATGATTTGGATAGATGTCAAGCCGAGAATCAAATTTTGAATTTGTCCATAGCCAACATGGAGGCTTCATATCAATGCCACAAGCATGAGGTTGATGCTAAGCTAGAAGCCACTAGATCCAAGAAAAAGAAATTGATGAGGATGGTAGATAATTTTGAAAATATTGCCCAAGGATTTCATAACAACGAAGATTTTCTTACGAGGAAAAATGAACAACTTTGTTTACATCTCCAATAATTGACACGCAAGATGGTGGAAAAAGAAAACATCATGAAAGAAGCTATGATCTAAACAAGCCATTTGGCTCACAAGTTGATTGATCTAACTGGCTTTGCAAGAGAATTGGGGCAGATGGACAACTCAACACCCGAACATGAGTGGAAGTTAACTTGGCTTTTGAGAGAGATAGAGAAGTTAGGAGTTAAATCTATTCCTTATGTGTAAATTTGTTTGATGTATCTAAACCTTTATGTTTAATGAAAGTTGTTTTAAGATGATCACTCTGGAATGACACCTTTTGCATACACGCATTTGCATCGCATTTGTTTATTTAAGCATTTTACATGCAGTAGTTAAGAAAACATGAAAATAATTTATGGAAGGTTATGTGACAGTAATACCAAGATCATTCATTCATACTGTTTCCTCATCATCATGAACAAACAAGTGGAAACAATGGATCATGAGCTCGAGTGGGGCACCAAAGCACAATGTGTAACACCCGATCAAGTTAAACACCACTGCATCAAAGAATAATATGTAGCATTCGTTTGGGTCAGGTGTTGCTATATTAAATGAGTAATGGGTTACCCAAATTAGGAAGAGATCATTTCATTCATCATGGAGCT